ATGTAAAAAGTTTTCATTAAGTTTAATAAAGATAAGAGCATGGTCTCACCTTTAACATTAAAAAAAAAAATAATAATTTTTTGCCTAATTGGTGTTAAAATTTCATCAATATTCATATTAGGAAAATAAAGCTTTTTATATCTAGGATCTAAAAAAGCAGAAATATATAAAGATTTAGCAATTAAATTAAAATACTCAATATATTTAGATAATATTGCATTAACAATTTTTTCTAACAAAAACACTTCATCTCTATTAGATTCTAAATCATTTCTAAGAGCTAATAAAATTATTTGTGCATGCGCAATTGTTGGATAAGTTTATGAAGAAAGTTCAATAGTAGCTTTATTAAACTATTCTAATAATATAACTAAATCTTCATAAATCTGCCAATCTTCTTTATTTAGTATATAAGTTTTCAAACTTAGATGTTTAACTAATAACATATTTATAGATTCATAAAGTAGACATGCTCTTTTAATTATCTAATATATTGAATTTCATCTTGTTTTATAATCCAAAATTGGAACTAAAAAAGATTTATTATCCAAAGTTGCAAGTTATTAAAAATCTTAGATGATTTATGAATAGTTTTAATTAATTTTTTTAATCTTTTAATTGAATCTTCTAAAAGATTTAAACTAGCAGAAACTACTAAATTAAGTATATAAGCTATGCATCTATAATAACTAAAATTATTTAAAATTAACTTATCTTGTAAATAATTAGCAGCAGAAATTATATTAGCAGCATTATTAGTAGTTACTGCAATAACTTTAATTGTAATTTTATATTTCTCAAGTAAATTATATATTTTGTTAGCAATAATTTCTTTAGTATTAAACTTTTAAACTGAAATATATCCAATACAAAATGTTGTAATTTCCAATTTTTATCAATAAAATGAATGGTAATAGCTATAAAATTTCCAATTTTAATGATGTCCAAAGATCAGTTGTAAGAGCAACATTATTTGAAATTTCACTAAGATATGTTGATTAAACTGGTTAATAATTAAATTATGAACAGTTTTACGAGTAGGAATTTGGTAAAATAGATCTAATTTTTGAATCATATTGTGAAAAGTCTTTTCTTCTACTACTTTAAATAGTTTAAGAGATAAAATAATCCATTTAAGAATTGCTTGAGTTTTTTCTGCTTGAACTGCTGCTGAATGTTTTTTAATTCCAATATTTGATTTTTCTTTATTTAATAATTTATGCAAATATTGTAAATGAATATGAATAGAACTAGTTGATGTTGTTGATTCAAATATTTTAGAACATTGAAAACATTTATGAGTTTCTTTATCTACAAATTTCCAAACATCTGCTTCTTTAGTACTAAATTTAACTTCTGGGATAATTTTTCTAAATCTTTAGTTAAATTTTCTTCATTTGTTGCAATTATTTTCTCAAAACTTAGATCTTGTATACTTTGTATAATTTCTTCTTGTTCAGTATCAACATTATCATCTTCTAAATCACTAACATAAATATTATCAACAAGTTGTATTTGCAAATTTTCTTCTTCACTACAATCTTCAGGATAATTATTTGAAAAATTTGAACCAGTTGACATTTTTTAAATAATAAATAAAATAAATATATAAATATAAAATAAATAAATAAATTTTATAAATAAAAATAATAAAATAAAGAATAAAATTTTTATATATAATATTAAATAATAATAAATTGTATATAAATTAGAAATTTAAAATAAGCTAAAATTTAAACTTGTTATAAAAGTTAAAAGAATTTTTTATAAATTTCTAATTGCATATTAATTATATACATATTTATATTATTTTTTTATTATAGATTGTAAATTATATATATGTAGGGTTGCAATCCGGATAATCCATTATCCATTTATTCATATCTGAATTTATCTTGATATCCAATTACTATTGATATCCAGATAATCTAACAAATATTTGGATAATTATTCAGAAAACGATATATCTGAATAAATTTAGATCCGGATATCTAATAGATAAATAGATAAACAGATAATGAATTGCAACTCAATATACGATTACTTAATTATTGTTTAATTGTAAACTTTAAATAATTTTAAATTAAATAAAAGTTCCTATACATTATCCGTTTATCAATTTATCTATTGGACATCCAGATCTGAATTTACTCGGACATATACTTTTCTATTGCTATCCGGATATTTGTTGAATTATCCAAATATTAATAGTAAATGGATATCCGGATAAATTCAGAGATGGATAAATGGATGATGGATTTATCCGGATTGGAACTCTAAAATTAAAAATTTATTATGCTTGCAAAACTATTTACTTCTATAATTATTAATTTGTTTGATGATTGTGATTGTTATTGCAATAGTTAGAGCCAAACAGATTATTATAAATCTAAGTTTGTGTTAGCTTAAAATAAACTCAGGTTTAGAATAGATTAGCTAGCTTTAGCAATTGCAATCGCAAATACAATCATTTTATAAACAAAATAATTATCATGGGGTTACATATTTTGCAAAAAGCGCAATAATGCAAATAAAAGATTTTATAATTTATGACTTTCTATATTTGTATATAGCTATTTAATAATTTTTAATAGTATTCAATAATTTGAACGATTACTCAAATGCATAATTACGCAATAGTTTTCAATAAGATATAACTAACTAATCTTATAAAAATTTGCTAAATGCGCATTTACAACTATACAATTGGATAATAATCAGGAAACTATATGGATAAAACACAATCTACAAATTCGATTAAAGATATATTATTATATAAATAGCAATAAATACAGTATTTATAAATAAT